GATTCTATGATTCTATGTGGTGTTAGGAGATGAGTTTTCATCATAGTTAAAATCAGGTACATATTTGGTGAGGAGAATAAGAGGAGATTAGTCCCTATTCTCTGCTCTCCTACTTTAATCCACATTCCTGAATTCCTGCTCCTGCCCTCCAGTACTCGGAGGTGCCTGTCCTACCACAGCCCAGTAGGTTATTTTTTTAGTTCATAGCCCTGTCCTTTGCAGAAGGAGAGCTGCGTAAAGCAAAGGAGACCTGTGCAATTGCACTCCATATATACTCCATTGGAAAGAATTCCTGCTCTCCCTAACACATCGCCGCACCTGAGCATTAGTTGGGGGGAAGGAGTGATCTGTTACCCTCATGCAGTGCGGCATGTGCCGAATTACATGGTCTGCAAAGAGGAGAGCCAGTTTGCTGAACTGCCAGAACCACAGGAGTAGGATCTCACAGGAGTTTGGAGGCAAGTGAAGGCTTATGAAAAACTGAATCTTCTCAAAATCCCATTACAGATGCCTATATGCTTAGGGAAGAGACAACAACATAGAAAGTTAGGGAGTCTCATGAAAATATTGGAAAAAAAATTGTAGAACAACATGTCATGGCTGATGCTGTTTTAGTGTTTCTAATGGGAAAGGAACAAAACCTGATGCAACATTGCGGGGTTTCGGTGTGACTTGTAGATCCTGTTCTCACAGGAGCTGGCTTTTTGTGATTGCTGCAAATGCTTCAGTGAGGTTTCAAGACAGGGTTGGGAGGAAAACAAAATCTGTTCGGGCCAACATCTGGATGAGTGTGTGTGTGTAAGTGTGCATAGACACACACCACGCTCCCCCCTCCTAGCCAGGCACCAAGATCAGGCAGCTGCTGCTAAAAACTAGTAAGTGAAGAAATGGAGAGTTACAGACTGGGTGAAAAAGAGACACGAGGAGGATGAATCCATTAACAGACTTTCATTTCCAAAGTGGTAACAGTCATCAAGAGCTGAGATGAAGAGGAGAGTCATGAGGTGATACAGATATGAAGAGGACCACAGATACAGATACAGTTAGACATGATTTATCTTTCCATTCTGAACAGGAATGTAGAATTCACTTTCTAAAAATAATGTTTCAGCAGTCAAATTTTCCATGGTGCCTCCAACTTTCAGGGTTTGGAGATGATGAAGGGATCATCCTGCTTTTGCAGTAGACAGCTTTTTAAGCTTTTTCTTTGCTCCTCAAACATGCTGCTGTTTTTCCCTGGTCCGAACTCTATTCCTTCTGACCCAGCATTGGTGATGGACTGGGGTCAAGACCTGGGCTGGATCGCTTTCTGCCAGAGCAGGCTCACCACCCGGTCCCAGATCGGCTTGGTCCTCATCCCGTAGATAAGTGGGTTGAGCATGGGAGGCACCAGGAGGTAGAGGTCAGCCATCAGGATGCGGAGGTGCGCGGGGATGCTCTGGCCCCAGCGCTGAGTGTAGAAGGAGAAGAGCCCGGGCGTGTAGAAGAGCAGGATGACACCGATGTGGGAGCCACAGGTGCTGAAGGACTTCAGACGAGCCTCTCTGGAGAGGCCTATGACTTCCCTCAGGATCAGCATGTAGGAGACAGTGATGAGGATGGAGTCTGAGCCCACCACGACAGTGGCAGCCGTGATCCCATAGATGCTGTTGGGCCGGGTGTCCCCACAGGCTAGCTTCACCACTGACATGTGCTCACAGTAGGAGTGGTGAATGACGTGGGGACCACAGTAGGACAGGCTGGTCACCATGCACATCACAGGGGTCATGATGGTGATGCCACGCACCGCAGCAGCCAAACCCAGCTTGGCAATGGTGGGGCCAGTCAGGATGGCAGAGTAGCGCAGAGGCTTGCAGATGGCCACGTATCGGTCGAAGGCCATGGTGAGCAGGACCCCTGACTCCACCATGGAGAAGCTGTGGATGAAGAACATCTGGGCAACACAGCCCTCAAAGTTGATCTCGTGGGAGCGGAACCAGAAGATGCTGAGGAGCTTGGGCATGGTGGAAGTGGTGAGCACTAAGTCAATGGCAGCCAGCATGGAGAGGAAGTAAAACATGGGCAGGTGCAGGTTTGAGTCCATCCTAATCACTAGGAGGAGCGTGATGTTCCCCAGCACTGCCATGAAGTACATGGTGCAGAACGGGAAGGCAATCCAGAATTGAACATCCTCCAGCCCAGGGATGCCTGTCAGGATGAAGGACGAGGGACTGGAGTGATTTGGGTAGGACATGAGGCACTATTGCAGAACTGGAAGGGAAGACACAAGAACAGCTGGCATAGACGGAGAGGAATGAGCTGTAACAAGCACTGCTATGGACTTCAGCCACAGGCAGAATAGCCCTACCTGTCTTCTCAGGCACACAGACCTGGACTCGATGATCCTTATGGGTCCCTTCCAACTTGAGATATTCTATGATATGATTCTATGATATGATTCCTATCCTCCTGCCTCTTATCCAGGTACAGTCAGTCCCGTCTTTGGTAAGATGCAAACTCACATGGTCTTAGCCCAAATATTTGGGATTTATCTTACCTCTCCTCTCATCCCGGGCTGACCTCTGGCTGTTGTTTCCACCCCTCCCCTCCATAGTCTGGGAATTACAAGTTAGAAGTTAGGTACATTTAGTTGCCATCAGTACAAAAACTGGAGATCGAAGAAGACAGAAGATCCAGAATACTTTGAGGATGCAGCTCAGCAGGACTCTGGTCACTCACACAGCTCTGCAGGTGTAAAACATGTCTCCTTCTGGGCTGGTGTGCCCCATCTGATTCCCACTTTGGGAAATTGCAGCAGATGTATATTTGCAACTTCAATGTTTGTTGCCCAGAGCATTTTTGCTGTGGGAGCTGATGCCCGTGGAAGCAGCGCGCTGACCCTATGCATCCCCCAGCTGCGTGCCCTGCTTCAGGACAGCACTGTCAGCTGTGGGGCTGCTCCTGCTGGACCCCAAATCCAAACCACCTTGCTGGAGTCCCTCTCTGAATGGGCACCCCAGCTACAGGGTCCCAGTCTCCTGTGTTAGGAAGGAAAACCGGTGTCAGGACCAAGACTGGCCTGAGGCTGCAGGGCTGGTCCCTTCCAGCACTAACCCTCACATGGTGGTGTACCTCCTTACCCTCAAGCCCCTGGCAAAAGAAAGAAGTGCTGTGAACTGTCCCGGTTTTACAGGGGAAACAGAGGCACAGAAGGGTTAAATTAGCCTGCTGGCCGTATGGAAGTTTCTCAGGCACTTGTACTCTGTTTTCACCAACATACCAAACGGCCAGACTTCATCTCCTTGGCTTTCCAGACATTTGACTTCCTTGCCCCCTAAATAGTTTTCTCTCTCCTCCAAACCGCTTCGTGTCCTCCACATGACACAATCCAACAGGCATTTCAGTCTGTTTCTAGTCATTGCTATTTGCAATGTAAGGCCAAATACTGCAAAGCAAATATTGTGAAAATCCTGCCAAGACAATGTTATTTATAACAGTTTATTGCAAAGAAGACTCTGTTTGCAGTGTAGTCAGCTACCTCAGCTATAAACTCAGAGCCACAGCTGGCACAAGCCAGTCCAGCAGGAAACGCGTCTCGTGCCAGAATTATTTATCTGGAAAGGGCAAACACATCTGAGATCCCGTAATCCTGTGCTTGAAAAAAAGCAGATAGTCCCTCCCTCCTCTCTGTCAGAGGTAACTGATCTACAAATCCCCTGTGCTGTTCTGGGCAGTGGTACCTGTACTTCGTCTTGTATAATAAAGCTATCCAGATTATTGAATAACGCTATTCAGCAAACATCAGACTCAGTTTTTACTGGGTCCTTTTCATGTGTGTTCACAGTGCTGTGCCAGTCCTGTTCCCTTAGCAGGGTCTGATTTCTTGGGTACACATAAACACATGAAATACCAAGGAAGCAATCTTGTTAGTTCGGTCTCTCCGACCAGCTCGTTTGGATCATCCAAAGAAGCTGTCCCCACTGCACTGCGGTTTCATCCACATTACACCTGACCTTCTCTACATTTCACGCATCCCCCTCTTGATGTGCCCTGCAGCCACGGTGCCAGTGTGCTGACAATCAAAGGTGTCTCCAGACCCTGAACACACGCGCTCGGCGACAGGCATCTGGTGCCACATCCCAGCCCTGTACAGAGCATCGCACCTGGAGGAGCTGCTCCTTCATCTCCTCAACTCCAACCCAGCCTCGCATGGACCTCTTCTGCCACCAACCCCCAGGAACGACTGCAGTCGCAGCCTACCTACAAATGCCGTGTTAGGAAAGATACTGCTGTTATTTTGGCTATTTTTGAGTTGTACATGCAACAGCAGGGATGCGAGCAGCACTTGCAGACTTGCTGCTGCTCAAGTGGAGCAGCGCTTTCATGCCTGTTGATGCATTTCTGAGCATTTTCTTTGTGCTTCATTGGCACAAAAATCTGATAGAGTTTTATTTTGTGCAATTAAGTAGTTCACTAACTTGTGAAGTGACAGGTTTTGCTCATTGCAGTAATCAAAATCCAGAAGATTTTATAGAAATGGGGGACATTACCAGGCACCCTGACCGAGCTTGCTGTACCCCATTAGATTTCCTGCAAACTTATTGTAATTTATTTTTAAATAGTGAAACAGATTAAAATGCCCTCAGAGAATGAGATGCTCTGTACTGAACAAAGTGTAAAAGGAGTCGAAATCCTTGAATGCTCGTATACCGGCAAAGCTTCCCTGACTTTGTAAGGAGTTAATAGATCCTGGTACTTGAGGTTTTAAAACTTTCCTCACTCATTTTTTGTCAGTTGTCTCTCTGCTGCCAAGCAATAATCATTAAATTTACCAGATTTGATACACTTAACATTTTGTGTGGTTCTTAGACATTGTAAATCTACCGGCCATGCAGTCTGAGCCTGTGAAAAACAGCCAGCCAGCTCCTTTGGCAACCACGCGCCGATGTGACTGTGCCAATAGCCACCTGTCACTCCTGACCAGCGCACAGCCTGCCAGGAATCAAAGCGCCCTTGCATTTGGGTTTTAAGAGACCTAGAGTAATCATCCAGTCCGTATCCCTGCCCCCGTATAAGATCAAAAATAATCTCTGACAGACACATGCACGACCTGATCTCCCGTTGCAAAAACTCGATACTTTCCCCAAATCATCCGTTTCAGAGTGTTTTCCTAGTGTCAAGTCTGTATCTCCCCAGAGCTCCTGGCTTCTCTCCTTTCCATAAGGGAGAAGAACAAATTATTACCTTCCTCGTGGTGTTTGCCATCCTCTTCAGGTTTGTGTAAGCAAGAAGGACAGGACTAGAGGTATGATCAGATAATTGCAGCTCTTCACAGATGGCTGGGCTAGTGGATGTTGCACCTATGTGTCACAGCTTGAAGCTGGCTTAACCAAGGAACAGCTTGCAGCCAAATAATTAGCACTGTTGTAATTAACCTATGCAAGGAAGCAAACTGAGATTGTATGACCGGCGGTTCTCCACCACAATATTCACTTAATGTGGGATATCTAGAAGTAATGAAGCAGCTCATTAGCTCAATAAGAGACAAAGTCCGCTTAGTTGTGTTGGCATATCTGTATAGTAGCTTTTCTGGATAGATTGTTTTATATTCCACCTGGATTTGGCTAAAATTTGAACTTGACTCAGAGCTTGGCACTAAGCTTAAAAATACTGGCATAACACCAGATTAAATGGAAAAAAATATCTACCCAGCTCACCTGGATGATTTGGCTGTGACCCTGGCTGTACCTACATCACCTTCAAATACTGTTTCTCTCTCCCGTAAGCAAGCAACTCCTCAACCTGCCAAAAATGGAAATACTTATATGTCTTAAGGAACCTGAACACTTTAATCACTCACTGCTGGGTCCTCGGAGACTGTAATCATCACAGAGGAGAAACTGCTGCCTGGGAATAGCCGGGAATAGCAACTGTTTGTAAACAAATGCACTCCTCTTTCCCACTGCGTGGGTTATGTTGGTCCACAAAGGTGGAAGATTTTACCTCTGGGTGGACAAATAGCCTCTGGGCATGACGAGCTGTTTTACCGGTACACCCACAACTGCAACGGTGCGTGTGTCCTTCAGGCTTAAGCCTGTCGGTGTAAAACTCACTTTGGATTTGGATCCAGTGTCACTGCGCTACACAAGGTAGTAGCCCAGGTTCTTAGGGATGTGTTTTAATGTCACTTTTCATCTGAGGATCCTGAAGCATCCATGAACTCTGGTGAATGCTTTGACTCCTGATCCTTTGGACCTAATTTAGACATTCCCTGCCTTTGCAGTCTCTGAGGGTGGAGGTCATGTACGAACCACGGACGATCAGTATGGTATTTCGGGAGAGGGGTGCTGGGGAAGGAGGGCAGGAAGCCATTCAGATAATCCCCACATCTGGGATCAATGTTAATTTTTCACCTGTTTCAGTCTGGCAATGACAAGTGTGACACAAAGAGCAATGATTTATGGGTATGCTGGCCCCTTGGGCTACTGGTCCTTCAAAAGAAAGCAACCAAAACTGGTAGAAATCTGCAGAGGCTGGAAGATGGAGAGATCGCTTTAAGGACCCTTGTGGCTTCTGCTATCATTTTGGCTGCAGACAAATAGATGACATGGTTGGAGATGCTCTTGGAAGGAGATAACCCACATCAGGGCAGGGACAGCTCTGAGGGACCATGGGTGACCCACAGCCAGGGCAGAGGAAAGCGAACAAGGACCAAGGAGCAGCAGAAGGAAACCACCGCGCACTGATCCAGACCTCCTCCACCACTGTCACCCCACCAGAGGGGCTGGGAGGGCAGGGTTGCAATGCGTGGGGGCAACACGAGGGGTTGAGCCTAGGACAGGGGAGAAGAGTCTCTTCTCACTCCCAACATGGAGTGAGTGATGAAAAATCAGGGGAAGGGGGAGGAACGGTATTGCCATAAATGTTTCTTTAATTTTTTTCTTCCTCAATGCATGGATTATCAAAATTTTATGATAATTTGTCATAAATTAAATTAAATGAAAATCCCTAGGTCGAGACTGTTTTGGTCCCAACAGAAACTCCTTGCTTCCATGGTCTGGTTCTTTGTCCCCTCTTCTTCCATGTACTGTTCCTGGCCACGCACTCATGGAGACACGTTGTGCTTTCAGATGTGTATTTCCATCAGATGGGTTCTCCCTGCATTCATGTTTCTCAACATACAATTCGTTGGTGTCTTCGGGCATCCAGATTATTTTTCAGCCTGCTTCTAATGTGGCACACAGGGCTGCCTTGATGTGTGGTTTCAGCAGCTCTTGCAGCATCAGAGGCAATGGAGACAGCAGCACGGTGGGAAGCCACCTCTGGGTCCTGCCCCACCACAAACAGGGTGTTGTCTCAGGGTTCCCACAGCCAAGCAGTAGCTTCTCTCCCACTCCAAACTCTGACCTGGCCATCAGGGGACCATGGACATCTCACCGCAGAGGTGGGAAGAGACCAGAACAGCTGCGGAGCACATGGGGTGGGCATCCACCATCGGCATTCAAAGAGGCCTCTTCAGAAAGCCCTCCCCAGCTGGAGTTACACACCAGGACCCCCTCGGTGTGTGAGCCAGATGTGGACCTGCCAGGCAGCCCGGTGCTCCAGATCGTCCCATTGTATAATCCAACAGACGGGTTCCCATCCTTTGCAAGTGAAGGTATCACACCCCTGTGCCTGAAATGGGGTGGCATTTCTGCTCTGAGGCGTCTCGTCATTATCCCAGTGCAAACAGGAACAAGAAGACCCGAGCAGAGGCTCGCTGTCGATTATACATGTGTGCTGAAAATGGTAACGTTCCAGCTGATCACTGCGTACAGCAAGCAGCGAAGCCTGCTTGGCAGGCTGAGGAGGATGCTAAATCCAGAGGTCAGCCTATGTAGAACTGGAAAATTTTCAGAGTATTCAGCTTTGACGTCACTGTGCTGATAGTGAGCTGGAGGTAAATAACATTCTTGTTTGAGCTCCACAGGCTGCATTTCTTCTCTTTTTGCGTGCTAAGGACGTAGCTGGTGGCCTGCAGGTCCTCTCCAAAGAGCTATTGATGCTGCTGGACCATTTAACTAAAGTGGGTTGGGGAAAGAGGGGTCAAACCATCTTGCGTTGGTAGGCATCTGGGAGAGGAGTGAGGTTCGAGGTGCTGACCCTCGCTGCCGGGAGAGGGGGTGGGTGGTGGGCAATGCCCACTCCTCGGGCACATGGTATTGGCACCGGCACCGACGCAAACCAGCCGGGAGCACCGTGCCTCTCCTGGCGTCATGGTTAGACATGCGGTGGCCGATGACGCATCTGCCTGGAGGAGGGTTGCTCACATTTCCCAGTGTGAGCTCCGAGAACAGCCTCAGTAAGGGTAAGGTTAAACCTGCTGCATGCACCTTAACCCTCCTCAACAGCGAAGACAGAGCACTGTCCCCTTCCTCCACCCCTGTATGCACTGGGGCCGGGGGACCAGCTCCCAGGGTCATGGAGGGGAGCACAAACACCTGTGAACACAGATTTTTTAGCTGTCATTTTGGTTATGATTGTCCTCATATGACTTAGACGTGATTTCTGTGGCCTGAGTTATTTACTGATGTGCTAGATTGCTGTAGATCTGATTCATAGAACAGTGCTGCAAATACAGCACAAAAAAGGAGTTAAATCCTTAATATTTCTACTGAATTAATATATCTACTTCCTTTATTTTCTCCAAGTCTTAGAATAAGAAATATGTTTTGCAGCATAGCTGGCATATTTATAAATCTGACTATTACAAAAGGAGATTCCTGTTCTCAATGTCTAATAAATTCATGTGGCACAAGAACAAAGTCTGGCCTATTTTACTAGTATATCTGTAGCTGTTGCATCCCTGATCTGGCTTTTGCAATCTCAGCCTAGCAGGTAAGCAAGCCCCACATCCAGCAAGCTCATGTTTTACGTGGTGGCTTGTTGCTCACACTGCCATGAGGGTCACAGGGTCTTGTGGGGTCTCCGTGTGCTTTGCCCAAACTGTCCTCAGCAGCTCATCTCCTCCAGCCCAGCCACAGCCAAGGAGAAGGGATTAATAGTTATTTTTCACACTTGTGGGAGGTTGATAATTTAGTTGAGCACGGAGCTGAGCTGTTGGACATACTGAGGAGGATGTGAATTGGATAGCTATAAAGCTTTTTATGAAAACGTTATACCCAGAGTAGCAGAGAAGTGGGATTATGGGAGAACTTTGCAATGCTGAGTGATGAAGTGATAAGATGGACAGTAAAATTCAGTATAGATTCATTAAAACTGAGGTGCTCTGGCAAAACATAGCCCTAATTTTGTGTAGACAATGTTGTGCAATGAGGGGTCCGTTCCCACTCAGAAACAGGCACCTTGGAGTTATAACCGATGCCTCCTTGGAAACATCAGGGTCGTATCCAGCCGTTTCTCCACTCTAGACTCCTCTCCTCTCCTCTCCTTGTTATCACCACAGGTTTCACCCAGTCCTCTCAGCGAGGCGATGACTGGCACAGGTCAGGGTCAGTACACGGCGGTTTCTCTCTGCCCACGCCTTCCTTCTTGCTCATTTCCAATGCTCCAGCGTTGGCTGACCCGCAGGCTGCGTTCCCTTTGGGGATGTGCCTTCTGCAGTGTGGGTCCTTCATGGATGCAGTCCCTTTGTGGGTGTACCTGCTCTGGTGTGGGTCCTCCACGGCCCACAGTCCCTTTGGTGAGAGTGCTTCTACCGCCGTGGAGCATCTCCTACCGCTCTGACCTTGGTGTTCCCTTGCTGTTTCTCACCCTTTTTGTTCACTCCTCCTCTCTCAGTCTGACATTTTCTGCCCTTTCTTAAATATATTTTCACAGAGGCACCACAAACACCCGTAATTGGCTCAGCTTTGATGCATGATGGGTCTGTTACTGATGCCACTGGAAGCATCTGTGTCTGGCACAGGGCAGCCCCAGACCTCCCTCCTGGCCACCCCTGCAGCCTCTTCCACTACCAAAACCTTACCACCAACACCCACTACTCCTCCCCACAAATATCTTGAGCCGCTCTTTACAAATATTGTTTTGTCCTGTGCTGTGTGGATAATGAGTTAATTTGTTCCTAATTCAGGAAATGAAGCTCTTAATGAGATTTGTGCTAGAAATTTCTGCTTCCACAAAGAGGCAGTTATCTATTTCTTCCAAAAAAAATTTTCTAAATTATAGGCAGTGAATAAATGCAAGAAAAAGAAGACACAGTGAAAACGTTAATAGTAGACGAAAGTGTTTTATACTGTCTCTCTCACTGGCTTTCTGGGATGCGCTGGGATGCACTGCAAGGAAAGGAACAAGAACCAGCTAAATATTAACTCCTGAAGGGCTCTGACTACATCCATAAAGCCATCAACCTGCTGAGCTTGTGTAGCCTTTTATTACAAGACTAGTGCTTGTTGCACAATGTATATTTGCTCGACAATTTTCAGTCATAAATTATTGTTATTTGTGTTGTGATAGTGACTAAGAGTCTGCCAAGGGCCAAGACAGCATGCTGCGTAGTAAAAGAAGAGGAGCACATTCCCCATCCCCAAAGTCACCAATCTAAGTCAAGAGAAGTCAAGAGCTGGGTGCAGTTCAATGGGCAGTTCTGTCACTGGAAATTTTAATTGAAATCAGGATCCTCCTCTATATCTGCTTGGTCCTCACCCCATAGATGATGGGGTTGAGCAAGGCAGGCGCCAGGATGTAGATGTTCCCCATGATGATATGAACCAGTGGAGCCAGGTCCTTCCCAAACCTGTGCACCACGGACAGCCCAATCAGGGGCACGTAGAAGGCCAGGACCACGCAGACGTGGGCAATACAGGTGCTGAACACCTGGAGCCTCTCCTTCCATGATGCCAGCTGCATCTATGTGTTCATAGTATAGTTTGTCAATTTGGACGTCGCCTATCCCTGTGCTCTCAGCTAGGGCACAAAGTATGTTATGGCAACAACAGGGAAATTTCAAGATGATAAATATATTCACAAAATGCCATCTGGGAATAGTTTCTTCCCTTCCACAGTCCTGACAAAGACCCAGACTGACAAGCAAAGCAGTCAGAGCCTTTCTCAGGGTATTTTGCATCATCTGAGCTGTAGAAAGTGTTGGAGAGACTGCTCTAACCCCCAGAAAACGCTGGGAATTTCTGCTTGGCTTCAGCTTTGCTCACTCTGAGCTGAGCTACATCATGTCTGAAAGGTAACACAGCCCCCGAGGAATGACCATGCTCATCTGACACTCACAGCTCGTTAAGCTGCAGCAATTCAGCATCTGAACTCAGGCTCCTGGTGTTTGGAGGTGGTTTTGGGTAAGTCTGGGATGAATCCTGACAACCACAAAAAGCGCAGTGCTGCAGATGGCAGAGGGAACCTCCGATAAAACCAGACTGCAGGAGCACAGAGAGGTCACGCGTCGATGATGGAGGGGGTCCTGGAGACCAAAACCCAACAGCTTCCCAAGGTACCCACAGACCTGACCTCCCCACCGCAGAACAGTGTCCTGGCCAGTCTTGGTGCTGCCGACACGGGACAAGCCACAGGCTGCCCTGCTTTATAGGACACCCTCATCTGTCCCCCGGGGCACATCACCATGCCAGAAGAACTCAACCGCTCCACCTGATTTTGTCTGTGCTTGCAGCTCAGCACCGTGAAATGGTTCTTGGTCTTGTCCCCACCGTACCAAAATATTCACCTCCTGGACAAGCTCCTTGAGTCCCAGGAGAGAAAAGAAGCTGAGCTGCCCGGCTCGAAAGGTCGTGATCAGTGGCACAAGGTCTGGCTGGAAGCCAGTCACTGGTGTGACTAGTGAGTCAGTACTGGGGCCAGTACTGTTTAACCACCTCATTAGTGACCCAGACGATGTGGCAGCGTGCACCCTCGGCAAGACTGTGAATGATATAAAACTGGGGGGGGGGGGCTGGTCATGCACCTTAATTCTCCTCCAGCACCCTGCTATTTACTTTTCAGGAGGAGGTTGGTCTGCTTTAGGCAGTCTTCAGCAGTCCCTCTTCCAAGACACTCCCAATCTCCTTTTGAACTCACGTAAATAATTTGGATCCACAGCATCATTCAGCAAGGAGTTCCTTTGATCCTCTGATCCGCAGCCGGGACACGGACACGATCAGACCGCGCCATGATCTTGTCCTTCCTCACCACCATCCCGAGAGTGTCACAGCTTTCTGCGAGGATGTTGACCGAAGGGTAAGGAAACACACACAGCCCCGGTCTGTACCCCAGCAAGGGTGGGGAACGGGCAGCGGGAGGCTCCCCACAGCCGTGGCCAAGGGCCCCTCCGCACCACCCACCGCCTCTGTGCCCCACCACCCACCGCCTCTGTGTGAAACTCATCACAGAATAAAAAAACTCTCAGAATAAAGTTTCTGATTGGTTGTCTATTGGTTGGTTCTTTTGGTTTGTGCTCTTTTGGGGGAACCTTTTGGAGATTTTCCTGTTGTCCTTGTTTCCTCGTATTTAGCCTATCTAGCTATCTAAATGCAATATACACACAGATACATATATACATATATAAAGTGTAGCTATGTATAAATGGGGGAGCTGCACGGAGGCACCTTGGGGGGGTGGAAGGTACTGGAGCTGGGTCTCTTCATTTTCCGGAATGTAAAAGTTTCACAGAGCAGGGCAAAACTAGGGAATTTTCTGAACACATTTTTTTTGCCAATTTTTTTCTTTTTTTAACAGCCAGTGCCCCAAACCTGCCCCCACTCCTCTTGTTGCACTCTGCCACTTTTTTTCAGAGAAGGCAGGAAAACCTGCTTGTACGCAGTCCCGTGGTGCTCACATCCCCTAAAGAGCAAAGAAATGGGCTGTGACTCCCTGAGTGAGGCCCGTGGGGTTTGCCCTGGCTGGGTTAAATACGGCTTCCCAGCCTCTGCCTGCAGCGGGGCACAGCCAGGGCTGCGCCGGTCCCCAGCCCGCGTCCTCTGCCGTGACCTGGGGTAAGTACCGGGTGGGCTGCCTGGAGATGACAGAATAGAGATGCTCTTCCTCTGCAAGGACAATTGGTTTGAGGGCTTGCATCAAAACAGGAATTTACAAAAGTGTCTGGCAGAAACAACAAACCAGCATATTAGAAAAGCGCTAGGAGCAAATTGCTTTACTAAATATCACTTTTGTTCTCATATATACAGAGGGGCTTGATACAAAAAGCCACCCCAAAAATCGACCTTGGTCAATGATAAAAAATGTCCCCCATTCTCTAAAGTGCTACATGAATGGGACGTGTAAGTTTGTTTCTACAATGCCTTTGCTGCCCACGGGAGCAAAGTGGGGTCTTCAGCTCCTCGGCTTTAGGTTCTTTACGACTTCAGTTATGTCTTTGGCTGTCCCAGTTCTCCCTCTCCCACACTGCTCGGTTCAGTTTCAGAGAGGTTTTTTCCTCCATCCCAGGGGCAGTCAGCTCTGACTTCTGTCCCGACGTGACTCTTCCCCTTGATCAGGGAAGCGGGTGCTCGACGGCTCCGGAGGAGCTGCACCACGGGCTGCTGGAGGAGAGCGGAGCTGTTTGCAGGGCTGACCCTTTGGCCATGTGAAATCTTGATTATTTATTTTTTTTTCCTGATAGCAGATGAGGTCTCAGAGTGTGCATGCACACTCTGGGAAAAATTTGAATCAGTTTGTGCTCCTCAGTTATGCAAAACATACTCATCTCCAGCTGAAGAGACACGCATGTTTTCCCTGATCAGCCGTGGCAAGAGCTGGGGATGTGCTGCTGTGACCGCCAGCTGTTGAGCTGGTGCTTTTAAGGTGCACTAAATCTAACTGCATTTGCAGAGAAGCCTGTTTGGAATATTTCTCTGGAAATCTCCCCCGCCTGCCCCAGCCTCCCGTTGCTGAGCATCGCGGCTGATGGCTCGGGCTCTCGGGACAGTGAAGCTGCCCAGGAAAGCAGGCGGCTTCCAGAGTGCTTAAATGGAGACCTGGTGTTTGCTGTTGGGTTTTCTAATGGCCTCAGGCAGACGAAACACCACTTCAGGTTCTCGGTCTTATTTGAGCCTCTAAATTTCTTCCTTTCCATTTAACCTTTTTGGCAGCTGTAAAGCACAAATCCATTTTCCTTCCATCAGGGTTAGCGCGGTTAATTGACTTGCAGGTTCAGCTGATAAAGCTCCCTAAAACATCATACATTTTGCCATACTTAAACACAAAGGGAAGAAATCAATAGAGAGTCACATATAATGGGGCTACTTCTCATCTCAGAGTGAGATGTTATCTCTTGTGGTCTGACCACATTCGGTTCAGC